CATTATATTGTATACCTAAAATGTACCAATGATTACAATGAATAATTGATAATGTGAAATAGGAAGAAAAGGTCCAAAGGGGTAGGGAAATTGGGAGGGGTAGGGGAAAGGAAAGAAAGGAAAGGAAAAATTATGAGAAAATTAAAAAATGGAAACAAAGCTTTTGTAAATAGGGAAAGGTGGAGGGGGTGAAGGGAGGGCTTGGAATGGGGAAAAAATAAGAACAAAGATACATCACGTAAAGGTACACGTTCCCAATGAGAAATGTAAATGTATTGTATACCTAAAATGTACCAAAAAAAAGAATTTAAGGGAAAATAAAAAAAATAAAAATAGTACTTTTGTAGAGTTAAATATTAATTGTTAAAAATTAAGTGTAAATAAAGTTCAAATGGTATAACTGATAGTGTGAAATAGGAAGAAAAGCTCTAAAGGAGATGGGGAAGTTGGAAAGGTGGGGGAAAGGAAAGAAGGGAAAAGAAAAAAATATGAGAAAAGTAAAAAATGGAAACAGAGTCTCTGTAATAGGGAAGGCTAGAGGAGGTGAAGAGGGGGCAGGGAAATGGGGAAAAAATAAGAACTAAGATACATCATATAAAGGTACAAGATCCCAATGATGTATGTAACTGTATTTTATACCTAAAATGTACCAAGAAACTTAATGAAAGAAAAAAATTTAAACAGTGTGTAAAAATAAAAATAAAAATTCAAAAATAAAACTCTAGATAAATAAGGGGTCAGTATCACATTTATGACTTCTAATATTCACTTTCATAAAAATGATAATTACCCCAAAATCAATCAGTAAATTTTATTCAATGACAATTCAATTTCTGGTAAATTTTGTGAAAAAACTGGCATGCTAATTCTAAAATTCATTCAGAAATCTGAAGGGCAAAGAACAGGATATACACTCTTGAAAGATAACAATGATTTGGAAGACTTACAAGATTGCATATCAAGACCTCCTATAAAACTATGATAACTTAGGCAGCGTGATATTGGCAAAAAGGACAAACTAACAATTTAATAGAATGGATTTCACAAGCAAATCACATATAAACATATGATTTACAATAAAAGTGCCACTACAACACAAAAATAAAAAGATAGTCATTTCAATAAGTAGTAAGGGATCTATTACAAAGTCAAGGAAAAATGTTTCTGAGCTTTCTTTTCTTTCTTCTTTTGTGATACTGATTATTGAAACCAAGGCCTTTGTATTAAGCTATATCCTCAGCCTTTTAAAAATTTTTATTTTGAGACAGGTCTCTCTAGGTCGCTAAATCACTGAGGCTAGGCTTGAACTTGCAATTTTCCTGCCTCACCCTGCATAAATGCTGGGATTACAGGCATACGCCATAGCACCCAGTTTGTTCTCTTACCTAATATACACAGACACACAAAATCAATGTCAGATTGACTAAAGATATAAATTTGAAAGATAAAACAATAACATTCTTAAAGAAAAATAATACATTTTTAGGACTGAAGAAACAAGAGTTTCTGAGTAGAATACAAAATGCACTAACCACCAAAAAATTGATACAATGGGCCACATTAAAATTATGAACTATTTTTCCCTAAAATTCACCATTAAGAGAGTGTAAAGCCAACCTACTGAGTAAGATAAAACTTATATATTTAAAACTTATATATTTAACTAAAGCTTTGATTCCAGAATACATAAATAACTACTACAAAGCATAAGAAAATGAGGAATAGCCTACCCAAAGAAATGGTTAAAAATTGAAAAGATATTATATAATATGATTATCCAACTAGCCAGTATGCTTATGAAAAGATAAGTCTATTAGTCACAAAGGATGTGAAAATTAAAACCATAGAATTGCTACATTGGAAAGGGAGAAAATATTGAAAGTTGTAGGATATAGAAGCAATTAAATTCACATATGCTAGAGGAAGTTCAAATTGTCATTAACTATTTTAAAAAATTATTTGCAATATCAATTAAACCTTAAATGTATACATATCCTATGAACTAAAAATCCCATCCTTAGGATTAGAGCCCTATGTAAGTTCACCAAAACATTTGTATTATATGGTACTGCTCATGACAGCACTGTTTAAAATCATTCCCATCTGAAAACTCATATATGGATATCTATAGGAGATAAAAAAATATTGTGGTATTTGACACAATGAAGCATTACACAGCAAAAAGGATGAAAGATATAAAATTACTCTCCGTCACAGGATCTCACCAAAAAATGTTGACCTAAATATTTATTTAGTACTGTAACTTCAGTTCATAAGTTTTAAAACATGGATGGAGTAGATAGCTTTCTAGGAAAAAATTATGAATAATGTTGCTATTAATAATCTAGTATACAGCAATAAGAAATGAGTGAATGATTAAACAAACTGGTATACTTGTAGAAAGGAATATCTTCAACAATAGAAAGGATAATCTAACATTGTGTAGGCAACACCGTGGATGGATTTCAAAACTATGCTCAAGGAAAGAGGGTTTACACTAATTACATGATTCAATTTATATGAAGTTCTACAATAAGCAAAACTAAACTATGCTACAGAGAACTCCTATCAGTGATGACCTCTCAAAGAGTATAAAATGTCTGTAGGGGACTATCTGTGGTGATAACAATCCGTATCTTGACCAGGGATTGGGTTAAATAGCTATGGTTGATGATCATAATTCAATAAATGCTCCTAAGTCTCTTTAGTCATTCTCTTCAGTCAGCAGCCAACATCTTGCTTACTATTTTACATGTGAAGAATTTCCATTAAATTCAAGCACAAGTAAAGGTTCCCAAGCACCACCATTTCATTTATATCATTTTGGAAAATCTACACAGTGCAATTGGATATGTAAACAAGTGAGACATAAATATCAATACAAAGCAAAACTATCTTTACATGTTTAGGATACAACTACAATTAATAATTCAAATGAAAGAATTACAGCAATCTTTTCTAGAAACAATAGGAAACGTAAGTTGGCTAATTATATGATAAATATAATATAGAAGTATAATTTAAATTAAAAATAATACATATAAAATAATCAGTAAAAAGGAAACATAATAAAAATATCAAAAATATAATAAATTATCTTTTCAATACAAACAGAATATAAAAAACTAGGAAAAACATTATTTATATGCAATAAAACATAGAGAGACATAAAAATCAGTTAAGATACATATATATACACACACACACACAAACACACACAGTGGTTGAAATGAAGAGACTTTTTATGTTTTTAGTTATAACTTCTTAAAATTTTATTTTATTAACACATGTTTGCAATTCATGTAGTTTAGGGTTATTTTGGGGAGTAATTACAGGTACATTTCATAGCTTTTTTTCCTAATCCCCTTCCCCTTTCTTCTCCCTCTCCTCCTCTTCCTCTGGTTCCCTATCACCTTTTTGGAAGATTTAAAACTATTGAGATTTTAGTGTTGCTAAATTTAACTTAAAATTCTATATAGTCATAATTAGTACCACAACAGAATATCATGAGAATCCATGGTAAAGAAATAAAATCTAAATATATATACAACCTTATGACAAAGTCATAAATCACAACTAAACAGAATTATTCAAATAGTTGATATTGTTATGGAGAAGCCACTCAGGGAGAAAAATCTGTTCTATACCACATATTCATTGGGAACCCTGTGGTCAATAATGCAATTCCAGAAGGCTCTGGTCATAACAATTTACTGAATTATTCAAGCAACTTAGCCATCCGTGTGGGCTTGAAGGCCTCATTCTCGAGTAATGTGTAGTACAGCTCACAAACATTTAACTTTCCACAGTTCACCTTGGAATCACATTTATATGTTCAACAATACTTGAAACTTCCCTCCACTTTGGATTTTAGGACACAAATTCCTCTCACACTTCTCTTCTCTTTCCTCCATGTTGCTTCCTTAACTTCCTTAATGTTTGCTATATTTTTATTAAGGCAAGAAAAAAATATCTCCCCACAAATCACAGACCGTAAGCCACTCCACCACCACCCTCCTCTCATTTCTTTTAAATAAAACCTGGTAGGCCATCAGCAGGGACCCCATTGCTCTGACCTCTGTCACTGCGTGGTGAGGTGTGCAGTCTATCCTTTCACACTGAGGGAGCTTGGGGCACTCTGGAGTAAATGAAGAATCTGCATAGAAATTAAAGGACAAAATTGAAAATCTGTAGTGTAAGCACAGATCCAAAAATGAAAGCAGCAAAGTAACAGACTGTCAGCAGTTTCTTCAACCAACAAATCACTGATAGCTGGAATCTGTATTTCCATACAAAGCTGTTGAATACACTTGGGTTGGGGTTTTACTTTTGTTTGTTTTGCTTTGTTTCTTTGACTTTGAGATACAATTCATATACCATAAACTTTTTCCAGTGACAATTCAGTTTTTGGTTTGTTTGGGGTTTTGATTTTTTTGTTTGTTTTGTTGGTTTGTTGGTTGGCTGGTTTTGATCTTGGTTTGTTTGTTTGTTTTTGTTTTTTGAGACAGGGTCTCACTAGGTAGTCCAGGCTGGCTTCAGACTTGCAGTAATCCTTCCTGTCTTACCTCCAAAATACTGGGATTATTGGCATGTGCCACTATGCCCAGCTTTAATTTTTATTTTTGTTAGTCCATGTTTGCAGTACATAATAATTACATTCATCATGGGGAGTTGGTACATGTACATTATACATGCAACTAGGGGGCCAGAGGTGTACCTCAGTGGCATCACGTCTGCCTCGCAAGCTCAAGGTTCTGAGTTTGATTCCCAGTACCACTTCTCCCCCCCCAAAAAAACACAACATAATCCATCCAACCAGTAACTACTGTGTAATTTTAAATACTCTCATCACCTTGTAAACAATTCACATTCCTATTCCTTTTTTCCAAGTCTCCCTGATAAACAAGAAACTATTATTTTCTCCATTGATTTGCCTATTCTGAGTGTTTCATATAAACAATATGATAATGTAAGTCCCTTTTGTGCCTGGCTTCTTTCAGTTGGTATAATGTTTTCCTGGTTCTTCTGTGCTCCCGCATGTATCAATGCTTCACTCTTTTTCATAGCTGAGTCCTAACTCATTATGTGGATGTAAAATATTTTGTTTATCAACTCCTCAGCTGATGTACTTTTGGGTTTCCACTTTTTGACTAGTGTACATAACTATGCTATGAACAGTCACATAAAAGTTTCTGTATGAACATATTTTCATTCCCCTTGGTTGTATATCTAAGAATGGAATTACCAAGTCATGTGGTTATCTTTCACATTTTGAGAAATTGCTAGGGGTTTTTTTTCCAAAATGACTATACTATTTTATGTTCTTCCTACAAAGTATGAGGATTCCAATGTTTTTGTAACCTAAATAATACTTATTTGTTTTTATTTTAGTCATTCTACTGAGTGTGAAGTAGAATCTTGTTTTGACTTGTGTTTTCCAAATAACTGATGTTGTTGAAATGGTTCATGGACTAGGGTCATTTGTAGATCTCCATGGAGAAATATTTCTTTAAATCTTTTCTTTATTTTAAAATTTGATTATTTTTATTTTTGAATTGTACTATTTCATTGCATATCTTAAATATTAAACCTCTATCAGATATGTCATTTGCAAACACATTTCTTGATTCTATGGGTAAGCCCTTCACTTTTTTTGATGATGTCCTTTGAAGCACAAAGTGTTCGGTTTTGTGAAGTTCAGTTTGCCTACTTTTTCTTTGGTTATATGTTTTGGGTATTATCTAACAAACTTCCATGACCCAGGGTCACAGATATTTATTCCTATGTTTTCTTCTTAGAGTTTTATAGTTCAGGCTTTTGCATATAGGTCTTTGAGCTATTTTGACTTACTTGCATGAATATTGTCAGGAATCAAACGCCATTTACATGTAAATATCCAATAGCATTCCACATTTAGAGTTTTTTTCATTTGTTTATTTGCTAATATTTGGTTTTGTTCTACTCACTTTCAACAAATTTGATGTAGACTTGGAGGATACTATTGGCACAAAATATACACATTCACTCAGATTTAGTCATTCTTATTTTAGCCTTTATCAACTTTGTCAAACTTTCCCTTATATAACAGCAGAAGTAGGACTGGGTCAGTGGCCTCCCTAGACATTCAAAACACAGGATTTCATCTGATGCTTCAGATAACAGTTTCTGTGGGCATAATAGGTTCTTTTTGATGCCTTTGTTCTCATTCAAAAAGAGGTCCAAACTATCTCTTTACTATGTTTATGGCTCTGTACTTAATGTATATGCATACATTTGTTTCAAAAGTAAAGACTTAAACATAAGACCCAAAATTATAAAATTCCTAGAAAAAAAAATGTGGTAAAAATATCAGGACATTGGTTTTACAAAAGCCTGGGCAACAAAAGTAAAAGAGATGTAGGAATTAATTCAAAATATTTACCTTTCATAATCATTTTGACTTTCAGAAATTGGCAGAGGTAGAATAGTGACATGCCCAGTGAATAAGGTGGATGAGGACATAAAACCTTGACAAAAAAATTGCCATAAAATGGGGCTGTGGGGAAAGAGGAACCCTGCTCCACTGCTGGTGGGAGTGTAGACTGGTGCAACCACTGTGGAAATCAGTATGGAGATACCTCAAAGAACTAGGACTGGAAATCCCATTCGAACCTGCTATTCCACTGCTGGGGATCTTCCCCAAAGAATTAAAAGAATCATACCACAGTGATATATGTGCACCCATGTTCATAGCAGCATAGTTTGTAATAGCTAAAACTTGGAAACAGCCCAAATGCCCATCAACTGGAGACTGGATCAAGAAAATGTGTTTTTTTTATAAAATGGAGTACTACTCAGCCATAAAAAATGAGAAATTAGAGACATTTATAGCTAAATGGATGCACTTTGAGCCAATACTCTTAAGTGAAATAAACAGGACACACATGTGTAAATACTGAATAGTTTCTCTAGTGTGAGAAACTGAAAGTGTAAATAAGGACTAAAAGGTATAATAGATAATGTGATATAGGAAGAAAAGGGGCAAAGGGGAAGCAGAAGTGGGAGGGGTAGGAGAAAGGAAAGAAGGGAATGGAATTAATATGAGAAAATGAAAAAATGGAAACAAAGTCTTTGTAAATAGGGAGGGACGGAGGGGTTGAAGGGAGGGCAGGGGAATGGGGAAAAAATAAGTACCAAGATAGATTACATAAAAGTACAAATTTCCAATGATGAATGTCATTATATTGTATATCTAATAATGTACCAATAAAATTAATTTTAAAACATTAAATGGAAACCACCATATAACTCTGCAATCCCACTTCTGAATACTCATCCAAAGAATTGGGTCAGGATCTTAAAGAAATATTAGTACTCCCGTGTTAACTGCAGCACTATTCACAATAGCTAAGATGTACAAACAACCTATATGCCTACTAAAGAAGGAATAGATAAAGCAAATGTGATATATATACCACATATATATATATAATGGAATATTATTTAGTCTTAAAAAGGAAGAAATTCTGTAATTTGCACAAACAAGGGCGAACCTTGAGGACAGCATGCTAAGTGAAACAGACCTGTCACAGAAGAACATACACTGCACTATTTCTCCTACATGAAATACCTAACTCAGTCAAACTCATAGAAGCAAAACATAGAATGGCAGATGCCAAGTGTTAGGGGAAGGGAAAGTGGATAATTGCTAATAAACACATACTCCAGTTATGAAAAATAAGTTCTATAGCTCTGAGCACATCATATTTCCTATAGATAATAATACTCATATATTCTAAAAATCTGTTAAGAATGTATATCTCATTTTACATGTTCTTACACAATAATAAAAAAATTAATTCTGCTTTTCAACTCATGCAAAAATCTTCAAAAATATCTCAGAGAAAATTCTAGTATGTAAAATGATTAAATGTGGACCTACTTTGGATGAATCAGTGTTTTGGCATGAATGTAGGTGTGAAGATCTGTTTTATGTAAAAGAAACTGTGTATACACTGGATAATAATGTCTTCTCCAAAGAAAAATGTTGAAAAGAAGTAGAAATAGGCTTAAAGTGACTAACATCAATGATTTTTCAATTATCTTGGAAAGTTGTGATTTTTCCAGAAGGTACCTCAATGTTTCTTGTGCAGAGGGTCAAAGAGATACTGTGCAAGTAAGTGTCCTGCTATCAGTACAATTTCTTTTCACTACATAATCACATCTGTAAAGAGCTTTAACAAGCAGAGAAAACCCTCAAATTCAGTTTGTGTTGAAAATTAAATTTTATATTGCACTTTATATTTTATTATTTAGAAGATAATGTGTATATAGAGGAGAAATAATTTGATGCTTTATATGTGTATGGAAGTGAAAGAGAAGTAGAGGGAAAGAACAAAGGAGGGAGGGAAGGAGAAAGAACAATTTCAAAAGCATCTGTGAAAAAAGCATAGCTATTTCCATAATAATATGAAATAGAAGCTAATTACAGTACATATCATCAGGTCAATATAGCCCTCAATTTTCCTGTGACCTAGTGTCCTTTTCCATGATGTAATGGAGCTGGGCATTGTTTCCTTAACTGTTCTTTCTCCTTGAGAATTCTACTTCATGAGTCTGCATGGAAGGGCAGGTGTCTAGTGAATCTAGTTTTGCATCTTGTTAAAATTGCACCTAGAAGACCCTAAGGTTTAGTTGAGAAAAAGAGCTTATCTTGAAAATTGACTCAAATTAATCTTGGATATGGATTTTGAACACAATAACACAGTGACAAGCTGAAGAATGAAAGAATAAAATAACCTCTTTGGTATCCAAAAAACAACCCCTTTTCCACCCTTCCAACTCAGAAGTCACAACATCACCTTTACCTGAAGGTTCCTCCAAAAGAAGAAACAGCAACAGGATGTCTGCAACTACAGCAATCAGGATGAAGATGATCAGAAGGACTTCTAAGACAGTGAACTTCTTGGCCATCTAGATGGACACAGACAATTGTATTAAAGCAAGCCACAGAGCCCCATCAGCCAAAAGAATAGAAAGGCATTGTGATCAAGATGTGAACTTGTAGCTGGGTTTCATGGCACATGCCTATAATCCCAGCACTTGGGAGGCTGAGGCAGGGGGATCGCTTTGAGTTTGAGGTCAGCTTGGACTACATAATGAGTTCAAGGCCAGCCTGAACTATATATCAAGACCTTGTCTCAAAAAAAAAAGATGTAAACTTGTTTACAATAGAACCTGATCATCAGTGTTCCTCTTTACATAGTCCAGAGAATATTTTCTACTCATCCACAATGTCATCATCTCCATTGTACATCCAGCACCTCTAGGGCTCTTAACTTTTGTTTGCAAAGATATTGAATATTGTCCAAGTAAAAGTAAATGAAAAATAAAGAATTAGAGGGGAAAAAGTGAAAAAACACAGTGAAAGTAGACGGGTTAAGATGACTTCAAACCCCTTTCTGATGTCACTTTGATCATTTGACCTCTGCAGTGGAAAAGAGGATATAACTTAGGGAGAAGGAAAATAGCAGAAACTAAATCCAAGTCTTCCAATTCCTATGGCATGAAACTGAGTTGTTAATTCTTTAGAAGTCACTGATCCTTTTAAGGATTTGGTAACAAAAACAAACCCGATCCTGACCTGCAATGCACCATGATGCTTATATGTAGGCTCATAGCCCACAGATTCATATAAACTCAATGGTTCACAGTAACACTGATGATCATGCACGGACCTAAATGCTGGTATTCTGCTCTATTGAAGAATGTACAGACATGGACTCAAATGCCTCAAATTCTCATCCTGATTTTCTTAATAACAGAAGAGCTGTTTACCTTTATGGTCCTATGTTTCTTCATCTATAAAAACGAGATCAGATTGTGGATGCATTGCCTTGTATTTTGCTGTAATTATAATAAAGCTAATACTTTGCACCTGACAGCTCGATGACAGCCCTCAACTTCAGTGGCTTTCATCATCACCCCACTTCCATCATCCACACTCTATAGCTCTACTCTGGAATTTATCATGCTCCAGAATTGTTCCACTTTCGAAATCCTAGACCCTACTTCTCATTTACTTCTCATAAACTGATGTCCTTTTTGCTCTCCAATTGCCTTATTTCAGTCTTCCTTTTTCTTTGAGCACATTGAGATTTCTGTTCTTTTCCCATTTCCTTTTGGTTTCTTAGCCCTTCCTGACTTTTATCGCTACTTAAACCTCAGTATCTATTGCTTAACTTTGTCCCCTTATCCTATGACTGAATCTATATAATGAAACAATCAAGCCAAACATCTGTCTCTGTGTTGATGCACTAGCTTGCGACAGGTACCACTTGGGCTCATAATTTCCTCCAAAAAATATGGCCCTGCAAACTGACTGATGATCTTACTAGCTCTTCTTACTGTTCCTGGAAACAAATTAAAAAATCAAGCCTTTCTAAGCCTAACTTCTGTCATCTAATGTCCTATTCTTGCCCAATATAATCTCTAATGTCAAAGAAAAACTAAATGTTTTGCAGAAACTATCTCCGTGCTTCTTGACCCAAGCATTTCTATATATATTATGCACACCTAGGCAAATTCTTATTTTTTACTCTATGTTCTCAAAGCAGGAGTTTTTCCTCTTTTCTCCAAGCATAATCCTTAAATTTGTTCTCTAGCTTTCATATTTACTGAATTTCTCAAAAAACGTGTTTCACCAATTATACTTCCTTTTACTTGCATTATAATCCTCTCTCTCCAAACTGGCTTTTCTCCCTGTTAAATGTATTCTAAGTCACCCTAAATTATTGATGACTCTTCTCTAGGTGCCATTTTAACATTCTTTTTCCTTTCACAGATAATTTTGCAAAAAGTTAATGACACATTGCTTATTATCTTCCTCACGTATTACTGGCATTGCTTGCATTTTCTGCAATCTACTGGAACTGCTCTTGCCAAGGTCATCAGTGACATAGTCGTTAAATACAACAGGTATTGTCTTAATCTTGTAGACTTTATCAACCACTCCCTCTTCCTTGAAACTCTCTGCCCACTGAAAAGCCTTGATATCAATATTGTTCAGTCTCAGTTTTCCACCTACAGTTTCGGCACTTTTCCAACTTATATTTTGCATCTCCTATTTCATTACATATTAATATTCCTCATGTTTTCACAGAAGTCCTCTTTTAAAACTTTCCACTCTCCTTTAACAATCCCATTTACTCACATTACGTTATACCGTATGTGTCAACAATCTAACCTGTATTTCCAGCCCAGAGATTTAGATTCATATATTCAATAGCCTGTTCAATGTCTCACTTGAGTGTCCAAAAAACTTAGCAAAAATGAATGTTTGAACATAAAGCAATCCCTCCCAACACTCCAGTCATAATTTATGCCAACTCTGCCAAATAAACTGCCCCTCAAATAATTAATAGATTGAGGAAAAGAACCACAATTTATTCTTTAAAATACCTGGGAATCATTTTGACTCTTCTCTGTTGGTTCTCACAGTCAGTTCAGCCAGACTGTAATCCCCATATCTTTGGGTCATTTCCCCAATGACACAGCACAAACAGGGTCCTTGGTATTTCTTATAGTCAAGCCTTAATGCTACTTTAGATAAGCTATAAACTTTTTAATCTTGTGAGCAAAGTATTCATGATACTCTTATGCTCTGCCTGTCTCCTATATTTTCACCACACTAAACCACTATTTATGCAACAATAATTTATAAATCAATGTGCCCAATTTTCTGACTTTTGTGTTTTGCTTCCCCTCTTACTTCCCATTCCTTGCACCCCTCTTCTTCTATAGCTCAGTGCCATGACTATTTCTACAATTTCATCTAAGTGTATAGTTAATTGAGGCAGCCTTTAGTCTAGTGCGTAATTATCCAAGGAAAGAAGCACTTCAATATTGAAATGAGAAAGAGGAGCAAGGATCAACAAATACTTTCCCAAGAGGAGCTTAAGAAAAACCTTCAGCTCTTGGGCAAACTAGTATTTGAACTTGAAATTGGGGTTTATAACCTAGCTATTCTTTCCTATTAACTAAAATCTATCAGGTGTCTTTCTTCCAGTCTAAATTATTCAAAATATTTACTCTATTCCTCATAAAATGTATATCATGCTATATTCTAATAAAGTCTCTACATCAAAGTTGATCATATGGGCACCATAATTCCTCTTTTATAAATGAATACTAGGGAATTTTGTCTGCCATTATTAGTTGTAGAGCTGAGGCAAACTCTGAGCTACCACTTCTTAAACTAGTATTTGAGTTTTCTCTCCACAACATCTGCCAGACTATGAGGATTAAAGGTATAAAGTACAAATCTCCAAAGGTGGAATTTCAGGCAGTGAAAGAAATCTGAGCGACCCACCTTAATTACTCACGATTCTTCATTTAATTTCTTTTACCAGGGCACACAACTAAGAATCTCAGAAAATACACTGGCCATCCATTATCTTCCTTCTCCAAATACAGTTTCTTTCCAGAGGGAGATTTTTTTTCCAGTCTTTACAAACCAGAATCGGGCACCTCTTCTATAGCTCCCTAACCCTCCCAAGGAAGCAGGCTCAATACAGTAGGAATTATGGGAATTATGTGAACATTCAGGAATAAGCTGAGAAATTTTCCTGCCATAGGAGATATTGTCATCCAGACAGAGGGCAGGGGGTATTCCTCAATGTAGAAATTCTTTCCTACTTAAAAATTCTTCCTGCCCAAAGCTGGGACACATCACCTTCCTCTGAATCTAAGGGTATCTCAACTGTTTATTCTTACTATAGTTTCTGAAAAACAGAGAGGGAGAGGGCTCTCTCTCACACTAGATCTCCCCATCTGTCACACACACACACACACACACACACACACACAATCTCTCCGTGCACGCTCTCATCCTCATTTTTCATCCTCTATAGAAAGGGAAGAAAATACCACGCCCAGAAGAAAATGTAGGCATCTAGGTCACTTAATAGAGCAGGAAACAAGAAAACTTACAAAAGAAAAAGATCCTATTTGCTCAAAACACCATCTGCATTAGCAAAAGTGCTCACCTCATAGTCTTTCTTTGCTGTGGTTGTCCCTGGGTGATTCAGGAGGAGCACTGAGCAGGGGTGACTGGACCTTTGGAGCCAGCTTCTACCACAATGAATTTACTGCCTCATAAATTTGACCACAGTTGGAGGAGGGGAGTGCATTTCCCAACATACCATAAAAGAGTCCTTGCTCTCCTGTGAGGAAAGAGACTGCTCCATTTGTTAGTAAAAGGGAAGGGTGGTTTTTCTCTGTTATCCCTCCTTTTTGTTCCTGCTCATATCTGATTACTTTGCTTGCTTGCCACCTATATTATGCTTCCTTGTCTGTCCATGTAACCTACAGGGCTCAAGAGACATTTTTCCCCATTTTTCCCATGGGTGCATTCCCTGTGCTCAACTGCATATATCAGATATTTTAAAATATGAGGTTATTTGTTAAATAAATAAGGGAAAGAATGAGTGGCTCTTGGTTCACTATATTGCTCCTTTCTCCACTTTTGTCCACCAAAGTTCTCTTAGTTTAACTCAGCTTTTCATTTATTCAAATATGCCTTTGCCCCGATTATTCTAAGTGACCAGAGCATCATGAAAATGGAAACTATGTAGTCATACAGTGAGAAGATACCAAGAGTGGATATTTTCCATGCCTTTTGCCTGCTCCACATCTTTGAAAACTCTTTCAATGATTAAGGAATTTCTCACCATAAGAATTCTGTCTTCCCAAAGAAGAGCCTAGAAAGTCTTCTTTCACAGCCTCTCTTTCCAACAACGTACAGGAGGAGGTCTGAGTGCAGTGGATCGGATGTGTCTGCGACTGGCTGAGATCCAGAAGAAAGTGCAGAGAAAGGGGTGCCAAGTAGGGTCCTGGATCATGGGGGAGAGGTCCTGTGTCAAGGGCAACAGGTGTCAGGAAGCAGGGGCATCCTATCTCAGTATTGGCCATGA